CATTGTTAGATGAATGAATGGACCAACCCAACTTGTGTATGTGACACTTGCCCTTTTCAGATGTGCTCACTCATACAGCATCTACAAGGTGAAAGGTCAAACCACCCCCAAGTCCAGCAGATTTGATATTGCTTCTCCTCATGAGTGTTTGGGAAAGTGAAAGGAAACTCCTGGGGCCTCCAAAGGAGAATCTGATGTCCCCCACCCATGTCTCCCAATTCATCAACAACTGGGTGGGCTCCCCAAACTGACCTCAGGCTGCCAAAGCCTGAGTATCCAGCACCCTGAGAGCCTCCCTGGTTTCAGAAAGAGTTAAAGCTGCGCTAGTGGCCATCTCCCACCTGGCAGAGAGAGGGGTAGCACCAGTTTGGCTGGTGGTTGGGGCAGGACACTTGGTATATTTACAAGCACAGGTGCCCAGGAGGTTCTGTATCAGGAAGTCGTCTGCAGAGGGTCACCTCGATCTATTTGCTTAGCCTCAGAGCTGGTGCTAACGTCCTCCTAGTCCCTTCCCTGGGATCTTTTTCTGAACATCCTGTACTTAACGCAGCCTGGCACCCGCGGCAGCAGGCAGGCTGCTGCCATCTGGTGGAGAAGAGAGGCTACAGCCTCGCCGGGCTGGGCCTGAAACAGCCTTGCGAGATGAAAGGAACCTTTGAGAATAGCTTCCAGGTCAGGGGATTTCACACTTCCGTAGCTGTGGAGCCCTTTCTTTGAATGACAGCAGTGACTGAGGCCTTCCTGTAAGACTGCTAAACTCAACACTGCTCTGGCTGTAGCAGGGGAATGAGCCCCGCAGGACCTGCTCAACATTCCTCCGAGCTAGGCTGGCAAACCACTGGGAGGTTTACCCCTCATTGTAAGGATGGGGAACTAGAGACCTGGAACTATGAAGGGACTTGCACAAATTCTTTGTACAGAACGCACTTTGGAATTTGCCCAGCCAGTCTGTACCCCCACCCTCAAAAGAGGCAGGAACACAGCTTCCTGAATGCTAAATCAAGTCATGTGTCCCAAGACATCTGGGGTCCTGGGAGGAGGAGCCCAGGACTCAACTCCTCCTACAACTTCTTGTTTGAATCAACCAGGGTCAGACCTATGATGGTCCCTAGCTCCCTTCTCAATAGCTGGCATGGAATCAGGGGCATAAAGATGCCCGCTGCTATCTCAGGATTCCAAAGAAGTTTCCTGGACTCTGACGTTTAGGGAGAGGCAGGCAGCCCCTTAGAAAACAAATAGGGACAGGCACAGAGTATTTTGAGCACCCACTGTGTGCTGAGCCCTGCCAAATGCCTTCACATCTCTCATCTCCACAACTCCTTAACACTGCAAGGTGGATATTCACATC